CTCTTGGGTCAGCAGAACGAAACACTGACACTCATTTATACAATATTGACCAGTTTACAATATTTACTGTGTGACACTGAAAATATTATAGCTTATGTAGAATGCCTATTTTTACTAAGAACCTGATGATTCCTTCAAAGTTGCATTGCTCTCCAAGAACCATCTTCAACTCTGAACTAATATTGATAGTCTAGTTCACATGTACCATTTTCTTCTAAAATTTTTATATAGTCTTCGAAAATTACGATCAAGGTGTCCTTCGACTCTCGGAGCTGTTCCTCTATTATTTATAATTCTACAGAGCTCTGAAACTAGAGCCAAAAACGAATATTCTAGCTTTCGGGCGCGGTGCGTCAATCTGACACAACAACCAAAAATTATTTAAACATATTAAATACGAATATTGAAAAATAAAAAAAATCATATAGTTTTGAAATACACCAATAAGCAATAATTCGCGGTTGAAAAACGTTTATCCCAATTTTTCCATTAATTATGCATTTTTTTATTACATTTATTTAATGTCGCATCAACCTCGAGGGTTATTAGCGAGAATTCAATTGCATTTGTTAATTTATATTTTTTTATTAACTGCAAGTTAACATAAAAATCCAGATAATCAACAAACTAAAACCCTAGAATTTTTTCCACTTCGTGAAGTTATTCTCAATAGGTTGATGAATAGATCGCCGTTGCAAAAATTACAAAATTTTGATTTTCTACTTTTTCATCTACAATAAATGGAAGAAATAAAAATTGGGGTAAAAATATTTCAACCGCGGATTACTACTACCCGTTTTTGGATCTAGTTTTAGGGCTCTGTCAAAATTATTAATAATAGAGGGAGTCGGTCCATTTTTTTAACAAATTTAATGACCTTTTTGGATCCAAATTTTGAATAGTTTTCGAGATATTAAAAAAACAAACCTTAATTTCTTTCACTAATTTGTATATAACTTTTGTACCTTTTTTCAGCGTCTTTTCGACGCTGAAAAAAAGTACAAACTTTCTTCGTGAAAATACGAATCGAATGACACCTTGATCGTAATTTTCATATTTTCAAGAAAAAATGGTACATGTGAACTAGACTATGAACTTTTGTCTTTGCATAACCTGGATAATTCACATAAAATATATATTTTCCTCCTCCTCCCCCTTCATTAAATGTCCATGGGTAGATATGTGGAGTTTGTTACATGCAGGGCCGTCGCTATGGGTGGGGGGTGGAGAGCCTTTCCCCCCTGCTTTTTCGACTTGGGAAAAAGTTGGGAAATTTTGGGCCGTGAAGATAGAAAAAAATAATAGTAAAAAAATGAATAAAAATTAAAAAAATAAAAATAGGAAACATGATAATTCATATAACAATTCGGAGGGGTTGTAAATTATTAATTATTCTCTGTGTGCCGAGCTCAGCGGTCACTAAAGACACTCGAAACAGTCGCCCCTGTGTTCGAAGAAAACATAAGGCCGAGGAACGTAACCTAACAATACAGAGTGCATACTTCCCGAGGCCATTCCATTCCTTCCAACGAATTATTTGCTCAACCGGTTTTTCAGAGTCTTTCTCCCTCATCAAATTTTAATAGAAGGTGCACTGAACGAGTCGCCGAGATGAAAATAGTCCGGAGCCAGAAGATACTGTGCGTGAAAGTCATTAATTAAATGAAAAAACACAAAAAAAATTCAAACTCGTCAATTTCTTGCAACACATAATTTATGTGACACATAATTTATGTGTGCTCGGGATTCGATGAAGTGGACGAATGTCGTTTTTGACTGGGCCTGATTGGCGAAAGTTCTAACTCAAAAACCGCATGAGAACTGATGCTCAGTTCTTCCGCCATCCCACGCACAATTTGTGGTGGGTCTATCTCCACCAGGAACCTCAAATACTCATCCTGGATTACTATAGCTCGACTAGTCGAGGCTCATCTTCGAGGATTAAATCTTCGAAACGAAATTTTGCAAACCAACGTCGAACAGTGAGTTCATTAACACTATCATTGCCAAATGCCTGATCAATTTTTTGTCAGTGCTATGGTTCAGTTTGATTTTGTAGAGAAACATTTACTGAAAATCGCTTAACAGCATCATATAATGATACGCTGAAAAGAGGCAAAATTTTTTTCCTTCCAGTATAATCAGAGGCTCATTTGAAATGTGGATGAGAAGGACTATGTTCATACAATTTCTCAGCTGTTTGTATAATTTGTGTGAATTGCATCAATAGTTGATCTACCTTTCTTCTTGTTACAATTTTTTCTGTATGGTATATTAGTTGCACGATGAGGGTTGTTAGTATGTATCTCATATGTCGAATTCAGAAGTGTTACTCCTTTATAGTGAGTTGTTTCTTCTTCTTAAAATAATGGTATTTCACTTTAATTAAATAAATAAAAACACTTTTGTCTAATTATCACTAGTTATTTCATTTTTACGATTGGTTTCGGGTTTTACCACATTATCAAGTATAAAACTAACTATCTTATAAATTCAAGAGTGGAGACCTTCAAGAATGGAAAATTTATAAGTTTAACACCCCATAAACTTCAGTTTTGAATTTTATAGTTGGCATCCTTATTCATTCAACTACCTCTCCTTCTAGCGTACCTAAAAAATCCCAATATTACAGATTTCACATGTTCGTTTTATACTTGATAATGGGGTAAAACCCGAAACTGGTCGTAAAAATAAAATAACTAGTGGAAATTAGACAAAAGTGTTTTTATTCATTTCATTAAAGTGATTATGAATTTTCAAAAAATGAGTCATTAATCACACATAATAATGGTATTATCCAACTCAATTCTTTAGAAATCGATTTCCTGTGATGATTTTTGGTAACTTGTCTATAATCTTTGTATGTTGGGTTTTTCAATTTTATTTTTTTTGTCTCTCTTTTATATTGGTATTGTTCTAAAATAGTGTGTATTCCAGGTTTTTCACTGATCACATAGGTTTCTTTATCTCTATCTGAAACCTGAAACTATCATTTTCTGTAATAAAGAAGAATACCTTATTCAAATTATATATCGATTATTTTCATTTGTAAGCCTTCTGAAAAAAAAGGGTTCCATACGAAAATAGTGCATATTAAATTTATTTTTTTTGCAAAATAAAAGATTATGAACACTCTGGCCCGTTCTTAATAATAATCATCGAATTTTCACAACTCCAGTCTAGCTGATGAAGTTACCGTGTAGCGAAACGCATTTTAAATAAAATCTGTTGATCAAACAAAGGATGTGATTAACATTAATTGGAACCTTTATTCACAGTAGCATTTTCAAATTTATTATTGACCTAGATGAGCCAACATTTGTGGTTAAAAAGATAATAATATATTATATCATTTCTAATCCTGTGATTGAACTTATCAAACAAATAATCTGGGAATTCGTTATCAGAAATATGTCTGACAAATTTCATTCTGAACATAGAATAACACCAATTCGTGGAATTTTCGCTCCTTTGAAATCAGTAAATAGGTTAGTTGTGGCAGTAGCATTTATTGTATGTATGTGATTCGAGGATATATAATGCAAATTGGATTCTCAAATGCTCAAAAAAATAAAATTGACCTACAAAAATTGATATTCAACAGTGAATAATTTTTAATAAATTGTAAACGTTTGCATAAGTTGAAGATCATACTAATATTCGTTATATCCAGCCATGACTATAAAAATTGGTGCAGATATTGATTTCAATATTGTGAGATAATGTTTTAGTTGCTCCTTTCTCTTCGTTATCTGTCAACCAGTTTCGGGTGGTATATATGAATTATTTGTCACCATTTTTTACTCATAAGATAATTACAATCAAAAATTTTAAACCACTTGTTTTTTCACAAAGAAGGATCATCAAAAGACAGTATAGTTGATATTAAATGTAAACAGGGCAGGCTAGGGCAGGGGTAGGTAGGAAAAAAATATACTTCAGTTTAGATAGTTAAATCTGGAACCTCTAGCATTAAACGAATTTTTTGAAAAATACTGTAAACAGCATTTTTGTTCTGGTGTGGAAAAAGTGGTTTCAAAAGAAAAATTCAGAATTATATAAATTGTTTTCCTGTATTTTAAAGTGAAAATAAATCTCACAAATAAAGTTTTATTTGAATACATACAGGGTGGTTTATACTTAAATGCAATTCAAAAATAATCTAATCCATAAAAATATTTAGCCAAGTTGGTAGACCAAGGAATAATGATCCCCGTCATTCATATATTGAGGTAGCTGCGGAGAGTATTCCTGTGGATAAGATATCGTAAAACAACTCATGAAACGAACTTAATTCCTTCAAACGATAGATAAATCTTCGTGTTTAGGGATAACAACGGTCGAATCAACCGAGTGTCCAACTTCATATACTAAGACTTAGTCATCTCTGATGATGCTAACTTGGTTAATGAAACGTGCGTCGAGAGACAGTGTTTTTGTTCCGGTGTGGGAGAGGCGGTTTCAATAAGGTTTCAAATTATACGTATAGAGCCTGAAATTTTCTCAAAATTTCTCAAAGTTTCTAATTTGAATTCGAATTTTCGAAGTTAGAATAAATTTCGAAATTGATGTCGAAATTGTGATTTTCAAGTCAGAATTTTAATTACAGAGTTGACATTTCGAAATGAAAATTATAATTTCGAGTTAAAAGTGGAAATTTCGAAATAAAAATTGTAATTTCGAATTTTGAATCAAAATTTTGAGACAAAAAATGTAATTTCGAGTGCAAATTTCGACATTGACATTATAATCAAAATTTCAAGTTAAAAGTCAAAATTTCGAGTTTCAAGTCGAAATTTCGAGATTGAAGTATACTTTCGAGATCAGAATCGAAATTTTAAGGTTAATGTCAAAATTTCTGAGAAATGAATAATAAAAATATGTGGCCCCCCTGCGCTCTCATAAAAATAACATTCAGACTCCGCTTTTTGAACCTGACAAGTGACGGATTTGGCACCATTTCGCCTCGTATTCCAAGAAGCCTCAATATATAAATTTAGTTTTCCGATATATCGAATACCACACAAGTATTGGTGGGGAAGTTCAGAAAGATTCTCAAAATTCAGTACATGACAACTCGACTATTTTGAATCGCGAAGCAAAGGGGGAACTCCAACACTCGTACAGCTCGCCTCCAGTTGTCCAGTTCAGTTGTTCAGTCTCACTCGTTTGCCGGTTGGACGTGTTTATAGTTCGCAGAAGTTTGGGTGCTTTCGCTTTGAGGATTTTTTACTAACTTTTTTTCTGCAAAATGGCAACGAACAGGGCTACTAAAAGTGGATTTGCCGCCGAAGCTCAAAGAAGGGTACGTCTCATTCAACTTTTTTTTGTATCGTATGTGAAAACATTTGGTAAGAGTCAGCAGGTGGTCGACTTTCCACTTGCTTCGATGTTGTATTTGCACCTGAATCAGCAAAATACTGCCACAACGCGTCGTAGTTTTCAATTTCGCGATAAAGCATACGCCATAAAGTTAATTTAACTGCAGAGTTATAAAAGGTATTACCGTTATCGCCACATTTTGTTATCACAGCCGTAATTTCCGATTTTGCACATCGGTCTCTGCTAAATAGGATAATGTAGGTCATACACATCCCAGGAAAATCAATAACGCATCTTATATCCTTGGATCCAGCGTGGATACATAGGGAGGCTCAAGGTCTTTACTCTTCTTGTAGAGGATTCTAAAAATATGTCAACAGACCAAGGCGCCAGTAAGTTAGCGGGGTAATAGAATTCAACTCGGAGAGTTACAGAAAAATATTCCTTAGTCATATTTGAAAATCTCTTTTTTACTCGAGGATATTCGTTTTGCTCTTTAGATGGAATATTTGAAAAGTTTAAACTTTATTTTTGTGCAACAATAATCACTGTTGGTGAGTACTTATATTTATGTAATACGTAATAAAATAGCTATTTATGTAAACTTAGGTGTGTGTAACTATGGGATCGTGATTCTACAACATAGCACTCAAATTTCAACGAGATTTTTTTCTAATTTCAATAGAAAATTTTCTTTGATTTTTCAAACGAATGAAAATATCGTTTTTATGAGTTATTTCTATTACCAAGTATGTTCATTTGAATAAATAGAACACAAAAATATTTTATATTAAAATGTTTTTGTAGTTATATATCATATGAGCGGCTCTGCAGCTGGCCAGATATCCCCACGGGATCGGATCTACGCGGGTAAATTATTTACATTCTGTAGTTCATGCATAATTCGTGTAATAATTGCAATAATGATAAAACTGGCAATGATAAATAAAAATACCTGGATTTTTCAAAACTGTAAGCCTTGAATTTGAACTGCGATTCACGGTAAAATTAAAAATGCAATTGCCCCTCCCTGCGAAAGCAGGACGGTTCGCTAGTTGAGTGTATGATTCTGCGAAAAACTTTTTTGTTGGATTCATTAAAAAAAAAAAAGTAAACAACGAATTTTAAATGTTATAAATTAACGTAAGAAAATTATTCTACACAGCTCATGACTGTTGTGTAAAGAGCCGACCACGTGACTGAGTTTCAATTGAATAACTCGCTGATAACGAAGCTTGCTACTAGTGACAAAAAATGATGAAACAAAAAGTTTTTAAGTTTTCCATCATGAACAAACATCATGAACAAGGAGTGATTAATTTTTGGGAAAGAACGTTTTTGGCTTTCTACTACTCCATCTTGATACAAAAAATCTTCCAATCTTTGGAATGGAATCTTCCAATCTTTGGAATTATCCAAAGATGGGCTGAATGCTTATGCCCGTTAGGGTATGCACAAACAAAAATAAATTTTGGAAATTATAAAAATAATTATGGGAATTATTCTACTTTGGACCAAGGTCCTTGGTCTTCCACCATATCCGCCATGTATACGAATATTCAATACAAATGAAAGGAAAGAACACTCAAATAATATTGTGCTTATTGTTTCATTGTTTTCTACTATTATTTTTTCTATCTTCACGGCCCGAAATTTCCCAACTTTTCCAAGTTTTGAAGTTTTCAAACAACTCGGAATTACAAGTTATGCATGTTGGAAAATCCCAACCTTGTCCTGGTTCTTTCCCTTTTCTTATAACCTCTCCCTTTATTTTCTCTCATTTCAATTTCTTAAATTTTCATTCATTTTTTTACTATTATTTTTTTCTATTTTCACGGCCCAAAATTTCCCATTTTTTTCCCAAGTCGAAAAAGCAGGGCTCCCCCCGATTCCCCCATGGTGACGGCCCTGATTATACTTATTATAAATATTTCCATTGGAAATCTATACAAGTTTTCTGTTCTTTTTGTAAGTGTTTGTAAAACGTATTTTTTACAATGTATGATATATTATTTCATGATAGTTTACAAGCTTTGTCAATGAAAATGTACTTTCTTGGACAATAAAGCATATTAATTTTTCTCTCTTCAACTGAAATAAGGAATTCATTAAATGGCAATCATTCATTAACCATCATTATCAAAAGTTTATATAGAATGCTCTAATTTAGTCTCTGCTAATAGCGAAGCATTGTACGCGAGGGGTCCCGATTTTACCTATCAAATATTCCTCAATTAGCTACCTAGTTACAAAGTTTTTATTAACACTTTATCTGAATATGATTTCATTTTGGTTCTTTTAATACTCTTTTTCTCATAGAACGTGGTCCCCCTTCCTATGAAAACAGCTTCTTATTTCAAATATAATATTTTTTCATTGACGAAATTGTAAAGACAGTATCAAAATCAGTTGATTCCAGACATAACCTTTTTTTTGTCGTCATCAATAGACAACTTGGATTAACGAAATGGCCTTGACAATAATCACTTGGCGTTGAACCCGATAAGACTCATATTTCCACTAATTCAACTGAGAGTCGTCTACTATTACCTCACCACAATAAACAGACGGCTCGGGTGTGTCACGGGTGAAGAATTTTTCATTAATTTAATTTCTATCTCAGTCCTTATATGGTCAGCGTCTGCTCGTTCTGCTGTGAAAGTTAGCGCACGGTTTGAAATCTTCCATGTGAGGACAAAAACGAATGAATATGCTGTAACAGTACACAGAACAGGGCGTGGAAAAAAAGCCAGAATAAGCTTCAAAACTAATAAAATGTTTGTTTTAACGAATTTAGTGGTTACATCAATACAAACATACGAGGTATGTTGAAAAAATTTGGTGAATTTTCATTTTTCTCAAAAGTTATTTATTCATTTTTTATTTTGTCTCCTTCAAAGCAGTCCCCCTCAGATATAATACACTTATGCCAGCGTTTTTTCCAATCCTTGAAGCAGTTCTAATATGCACTTTTTGGTATGTCCTTGAGCGCTCTCATCGATTCTGTTTTCATCTCCTCAATCGTCGCAAAACGCCGTCTTCTCTAGGGTCTCTTCCTTGGAAACAGGAAAAAGTCGCAAGGGGCCAAATCTGGTGAATACGGTGGCTGGTGGAAATTAACAAATCAATTAAAAACCAGAGATATGTACCCCTAAACGAGCTACTCGATTTATGTAGGTCTCCGCTCTTAAATTTATAAGTTTAGCAACCCCTGTAATATTCAGTGTTGACTTTTAAAGTTGGCACCCTGGTTTGTTCAACTACCTTCTTCCATCTTACCTGAACACTTCCGATATAACCGAGTTTTCAAACTTCACATTTAAGTTTTATACTTGATAATGGGGTTAAACCCGAAACCGGTCGTATAACTAAAATTAACTAGTGGTTATTAGACAAAAGTATTTTTATTCATTTCATTAAAGTGATCATGAATTACCAACAAATAAATGAGTCATCAATCACACATATTTACCAGAACAGTTAGATTTCAGGCAACACAGATCAACACAAGACAATATTGCAGCTCAAAGGAACCCGATGTGAATATTGTATACATTTTGATTACAAAGTATGCATTTTGATTCAACCGTATTTACTTATTGGTTGTACTGGGTGACGCAGACTCATAATACATTCCCAAGTTTGGTTTCTAAATGAAACCCCCTGTATACTATAGCATTTTTGAAATCTACATATATTTCTGAATCCGATGATACCCCACAGTTGATATTTGAATTATGTTTTGGAACACATGGTTCTTTCAGGTGGCCTACGAAATCACCCGACTTAACCCCTTCAGACCTCTTGTAGGTCCTCGCGGGTTATCGGGGAAGTTGCTATGATACAACTTTTGACGTTTCGATGAACTGTTATTGTAAGTTAGTTTCTGAATACATTGTTGAGGATCGTATTGGTAACAGAAATAAGTTGGAAATGCCACATGTTTATAACAGGAATAAATATAGTTTAAAAAACTAAAAAACACCCTTTTAAAGAACATCGAACTAAAAAGTTGAAAATATTTTTTTTAAATGAGCCTAAAACAATAACGAATGAAAAATACTAGTATTATTGTGAAAAAAGCGACGGACGCTCGAAACACAAAAAATATGGCACAGGGCTTATTTGAAAAAAAATATTTTTTTCATTTTTAAGTTCTTTCAAAGCGTATTCAAACTATATTTATTTTATCTAAACTTTGGGATCAATCAAATGACCATTGATATTTTCCGATTCCGGAGAGGGAGCCTGAAAATCAGCTTCCAAGCCCAAGGCAGGGAGGAGGTTTACAAATAAGGCAGCAGGCGCGCGTGTTAATAAAAAAAATACTTTTTTCAAATGAAGAAATACATATAAAGTAAGTTCGAATTGTATCAATGAGGTACAGCGCCATCTGCCCGCGAATAGACCAGGCAATAATGTCGATAATTCTGTCAAATACGCAGATCCCGAGTTTAAGAGTTACAAACAAACAAACATACATACATACTATAGGTGTTAAAAAAAAAGAAAGTGGACAAGCAGCTAATTTATAGGGAATGTCGGTAAATTGCTGAACACCAGTTTTACTTGGATCGAAGAACGGACTTAAATCTTATGGTACACCCCTCGGAATTTCTTTATGTATTTAGCTATTTTTCCGAAATTTGACAAAATGAATCTCCTAATGAAGAGCTATTTCGACTCATTTGTGTTATCAATACGATTCCCAACAATGTATTCATCGAAAGGCCAAAAGTTGATTTACTGTTTCATAGCAACTTCCGCGATAACCCGCGAGGACCTAAAAAGGTCTAAAGGGGTTAGGTCGGGTGATCTTGTAGGCTACCTGACAGAAGTACGTGTTACAATACATAATTCAAATTTCGACTTTGTGGTATCATCAAATTTAGAAAATTATGTAGGCTTCAAAATGTATTTCATTTAAAAATCCGGAAAAACCGAAAGTTAGAAAAAATCCAGTTACTTGAAAAATTGCACCTT